AAGTCCAGGGGCATGACCCCAAAAAAGGGAAAAAGAAAGAAACAGAGTGCAATAGACAGACGGCTGAACGAGTACCAACTCCCGAATGCCCTCGTATGGAGAGGGTTAATAATAGCTGTTGTAAACCTGAGTTGAGCCAGGATACAGATGATACGAAAGAGGTATTATTACGTTTTATCATTTTCCTAACTTCCTAGGAGGGAAGTTGAGCTTCCATTTTGTTCTGACGTGAGAATACCCTGTGATTCCAATTGGAAGGCAATTTATGGTATGGGAAAAATCATGGACACATTATTTTTTTCACTTTGCACACAGGTGGTCCAGGGCCATGACCCCGAAACAGGGAACGAGGAAGATGCAGAGTGCGGCGGAGAGACGGCTGAACGCGTAGCATCCCCTGAGTGCTCTCAAGTGGAAAAGGTAAATAACAATGGTTGTAAACCTGAGTTGAACCAGGATACAGGTGACAGAAAGATATATTATTAAGTTTAACATTTCCCTTCTTTTTTAAAGAGGTAGTTGTAACTGACGCAATAGAGCAGCGCGCGAACTTTAACTTAGTTGCACGCTCGGCCTCGTAACATCAGCGCGCGACCTTTAATAGCCCTTATCGCATTTACGCCTACTGTAAGAGAGCTCAGCGGACTTTGAGGTTTTGAAACGAGGCTATCGGGTCACACAGGTAAAACTTTCAAGTAAAATAGAAGCAAACGGCTACGTGTGGAGGCATTTTTATTCATTTTCTTAAGGATACAGCGTGTTCTCGTCATGGTTAGACATTGTATTGCGTACGGGCATAACAGTCTATTCAGTGAGTCGGCAACTGACGAGATCCCCAAGATTAGGATCGAAACCGCGGTCTTGGCAAACACCGTCAACTATCAAACAAGAGGCGAACAAAACGCACATAAAAAAATCCTCTCAAATAAAGAACTTACAAACGACCATATTAATTTACTGGCAAAAGGGCTTAAATTCATTCCAACACCCGCTACAAAACAAAAACAGATCAGACACGAACCACTGTGTGACTTTGATCAGTGCGCAAGGAGAATGCGTCTGATTTACATATTCCGAGCGGACGACAAAAAAACCCATCCCTGCCACGTCAAATCTACATGGATACCACCAATACAAAAATCAGTAGCCCTTGAAAGCTATTTAGAAGAAGTT